ACTCAAGAGGAGACAGTTTAAGGAAGAAGAGACAAAAAAAAGACAGAAACACTTGTCTTCAAAGTCTTTCTGACCAAGAGGGCAGAGTCAGTCATTTGAAAGCCTTGGTTAAGTGCTTAGTTTGTGCCCAGAAATATTCAATATGAATAAAGTCACGGCTTCTCTGAAGCGAACATCATAGGAAGGGGCAGGGGTGGGAGATAAGCAACAGGCAAATGAATCAATAAACAAAAATATGAGGGAGTGGGGCTTCCCTGGTTGTCCAAGGGCTAAGATGCCGAGCTCCCAATGCAGGCGGCTCGGGTTCTACCCCTGATCAGGGAACTAGGTTCTCCATGCTGCAACGATGCAGCCAAATAAATAAAGACATAAATTTTTAAACATTTTTGAGTAAGTGCTATGCAGAGAATCAAAACAGGTTGGTGGAGTTTGGACTCTGGTCAAATAGAGTTGGGTATTTAAGCGTTTTCTTCCCACTGAATGTGACAGAAGTCCTAGACACATGCATGGAACAGCTTTCTGAGGACTCTGAAAAATAAGTAGAAGTGGGAAGATTTGGGAAGGAAAACAGAACTCCAAATACTACCAAACGAGTGGTGGGTTTCCCATTTTTATCCCCCTCCAGTATCTCCAGGCCTGGACTCAGAGTAACATGAAGTCCAGAATGTGCATGGGATACAGATGAAACACCTCTCCAAAGAAGTGCTCCATTTCTGGGCTTAGGACTGGGAAAGAGAGCCTGTACTGGTCAGACGGGGGCATCCCTGCGGGCTCATCGGTGAAGAATCTGCTTGCGATGCAAGAGACCCAGGTTCGATCCCTGAGTCAGGAAGATGCCCTGGCAACCCGCTCCAGTGTTCTTGCCTGGAGAATCCCATGGACAGAAGAGCCTGGGGTCGCAAAGAGTCAGACGTGACTCAGCCACTGAACCACCACGAGCACCACCACTGGTCAGAGTAGAGAAATCCCCTGTTTGTTTGTATTTTTTCCCGTTCTCTCCTGCCCTCGACCCTAGGCAGTCTAGTGACTGTTGAGCAGCGGCGGCCAGACAGGTGCCTAAACTTTGAGGAGGAGAGCCCTTCTCCCTGACCAGAGGGACTATGGTCCTAACAGCATGGTGACAAATCCCTCCTTCTCTCACTCTCGATTTCTCTCTGTGTAAATATAGCTTGTTGCTTTTTGGCCTGCATTGCAGGCACGTTCTTTACCAGCTGAGCAACCAGGGAAGCATAGCTGCCCCTAAACAACACACCAGAGGACTTTGTAGCTGAGCAGCACGGTCCCAGACTGATCCCAGGTCCAAGGCTAGCACACACACCAAACAGGTCTGAAAAGCGCTGCACCGCTTTAAAAGATGAGCCGATGCTGTTCGGGAGATTTCATGCCAGAGAAGGTAGGCAGGAACTTGCAGCCTGCATCTGATCAGGCCCGTTGGCTGCTAAAACAAACAAAACAATTTATTTAAAATTAATTAATTTTTGGCTGCACTGAGTCTTCATCGATGCGCACGGGCTTTTTCTAGTTGAGGCGGGTGGGGGCTGCTCTCTAGCTGCGTGAGAGAGCTTCTCACTGCTGGGTCTTTTCTCGTTGTGGAGCGCAGGCTCAGAAGTTGTGGCACATGAACTTAGCCACCCTGTGGCATGTGGGATCTTCCCATTCCAGGGATCGAACCCATGTCCCCTGCATGGGCAGGTGGATTCTTAAGCACTGGACCACCAGGGAAGTCCCAACATTTCCTACAGTATTTAAAGAAGACCCATAATCCCATAACATAATATTCAAATTTCCTAGGATACGATCCACAGTGACTTGATATTTGAAGACCTAGGAAAATCTCAGTATCTTTCAAAGGGAAGAAACAAAAAGCAAGAGACGACAACGCTGAGATGACACAGTCGAATTGAGACACTGAAGTAGCTTCTTACAACCGTGCTCCAAGAGGTCAGAGCAAAGCCCCTCAAAATGAACAGATGGATAGATGGTCTCATTGGAGAAACATTTGATATGAAAAGAACCAAACTGAAGTTTTAGAAATAAAAAATAAAACAAAATGAAAAAATTAATTTGGATGGGCTCAACAACAGAATGGAGATGATATAAAAAAAATTCAGTAAACTTATAGTTGAATAGATCAATATAAATCAGTATAGATAGATCAATACAAATTGTCTAATTGAACAAAAGAAAGGAAATAGATTGAAAAAATAAACAGATCTTTAAGTATTTGTGAGACAATTCCAAATGGTCTAACATTCTTATCACCAGATTCTCGGTAGAAGGACAGAAAGAGTGTGGTGCAGAAAAAAAATTTTTGAAGAAATAATGGCTGAAAACTTTTTAAATTTGGTAAAAGACTTAGAGTTATGGACTAAAGAAGGTTAGTGAACAGCAAAACAAGATTAACTCAGAGAAAGCCATGCCCAGCCATGACAGAATCAAAGCATAAAATGAAAGACAAAGGAAAAACAGTCTTGAAAGCAACCAAAGAAAACAATTTGAATTACTGAGAATTTTGCATCAGAAACCAGAAGTCAGAAGGTAGTAGAACATTTTTTAAGTGCTGAAAGAAAACATAAAACTGACACCCCAGAATTCTATATTCTACAGTAATACTGTTTAGGAGCAAAGATGGAATAAAGGCATTTTCAGATAAAGGAAAACTAAGGGAATTTATTGTCAACAGACTTTCTCTCAAAGAAATGCTATTAATAAATAAAGTTCTTTGGGCAGAAGGGGAAAGACACCAGAGGAAAGCTTGGGACATCTGGAATGAAGGAACAGCAGCAGAAATTGTAAATATCTGGATAAACACATTGATTTTTTTCTCTTAAAATATATATGATGGTTGAAAGCAAAAATCATAACATTTTCTGATGTGCATATGCATCTATAATATATACTATCCCAGTAAGCATGCCATACTTTGTTGCATATAATAAAACATGACTTGGCTAAATATAAAATGTTTGGGGGTGGTGGTTCTGCCGCTAAATCGTGACTGACTCTTTGCAACCACATGGACTGTAGCCTGCCAGGTTCCTCTGTCCATGGGATTCTCCAGGCAAGAACACTGGAGTGGGTTGTCATTTTCTTCTCCAGGAATCTTCCTGACCCCAGGATCTAACCTGCGTCTCCCGCATTGGCAGGCAGATTCTTTACCACTGAGCCACCAGGAAAGCCCTATAGAATATTTTAAAATATGCCAGTTTTTTTTTACAACTTTGCATTGTCACATCTTCACTTCTTAACATACGAATTGTCTCAGAAGGTAGAAGTGGCTCAGGCTCTGTCAACCTCTCAGGAACTCTGGCCTCAGGTATTAGCTTCACTTTGCAGATGAGAAATGAGCCGGAGAAAGATTCTTATCCTTCTTGCCTTCCCTGAGCTGTTCCCATGAGTGCTGCGTTGTCGGTGGCCAAGTACAAGGTATCCTACAGCCCAAGACAGTGGCCACGGGTGAGTTACAGCAGTCAGGTGAGGCGGCAAGAGGTGGGAGTCCTAGGCAGCACCTGCATGCTACATCCATCCTGCAGACGAGCGGGGGCTGGAAGGCAGGTGGGATCAGGGCCTCACTCCCTCGCCAGATCCCCGCAGGCCGGGAGGAGGGCACAACCAGACTGGTTCGACGTTTGCTCACGAACACTTTGCCTCTCTTTGCAGTGCCTTTGCTGTAGGCTCATTCGTCCCATCTCCCCTGTTCTCGGGCTCTTTCCCAGCTCTCCCCCAACCAGGGGAGGTGGGGGAGGCAGACCCTGGAAGGCACTGTCCTTGCTCAGGAACTGGCCTTCCGCGGCGGACATCTGACCCCAGCTCGCAGGGCGGTCCTCTCACATCCCCTCCACTCCAGTGAGAAGGAAGCCCCCACCCCAACCCTGAGTGTCCCCATCGGACTCTGGGGCGCTAGGCCATTCTCCACGGTGGCCGAGTGGAAGGCAGACAGGCGAAGGGCCCACATCTCCAGGCCCTGTCTTTAGCAGGAAAGGAGCCTCTTGGCCGCTGGGTCACAGCCCTGGAGGCAGGCAGGCAGGCAGGAGACAGGAAGGAACTGGCCTGGCTGCAAACCCGGCTCCCGGGCACTGGCTCGGGGGGGGGGGCCGGGCAGGGAGGGAAGGAGGGCCCTGGTTCCTCCTGGGGTAGAGTCACCCCAGAGACGGAGGCCTCCATCTGCTGGGTGAGAAAACTAGGAGAGAAGGACAGGGACGAGAGTGCAGACAGAGAAGGAAGGCTCACATTGCCGGGGCCAGGCAGGAGCGGACTGGCCTGGGGTCCTCAAGGATGGAGCAGGGGCAAGCGGGGCAAGCTGTGACCTTGACTTGACCTGGCAGAGTCTGGGTCTCCTTGCTCGGAAAAGAAGCAAAGCAGCCACGAGTTGGGCTGTAGGGAGCCCCAGAGGTGTCTGAAGTCTCCGTGGTTCCTAGGAGGTCCTCAGGGCTTCTCTGGTGGCTCAGAGAGTAAAGAATCTGCCTGCTATGTGGGAGACCTGGTTCCATCCCTGGCTTGGGAAGATCTCCTGGAGAAGGGCATGGCAACCCACTCCAGTATACTTGCCTGGGAAATTCCATGGACTGAGCAGCCTGGTGGGCTAGAGTCCTTGGGCTTTGCAAAGGGTCAGACGCGACTGAGCGGCCTCAGTGAACGGTCCTTGTTACAGCGGGCAGCTCGGCCTGTTCTGGGCACCAGGTGGAAGCGGCTGCTGCAGCTGGCCTCCCCTGGAATAGCATGCCTGGGATTCAGAACTTCCTTGGAGGAAAAAGTCTAGGAAGAGGCTCCTGCTCGCCTTCCTGAGCGGCTCTGCCGCAGCTGGTGGAAGGCCTGTCTGATGCACAAACCGCATTTCACTGAGGATTCTCTTGGCTGCAGCCAGTGGAAGGACCTGCTTGGCTGGAACTTTTTTTTTTCCCTTCCAGGCGACGTCTGATGGGTGTGTCAGGCAGGAGGTGATATTTGAAGGGCTGCGGGCACGGGCTGCCAAGCCAGGGCGCCAGGCAGAGGGTGAGAGCATGGCCTCCCGGGACCCGCCCGCCACCAGCCATGCCCCCCCCGATGTGCCTTCTGGGGTCTCGCTGTTTCTCACCATCCCCTACACCTTCTTCTTGCCCGAGCTGGTGAGTGCGGCCACGGGGGCCACCTGCAGGAAGTGTGGCCGGGTGAGGGGTGGGAGGGAGCAAGGAGGGCCTGGCCTGGAGCTGGAAGCAGGCCCCTGGGGAAGGAGTATCGGGTCCAGAGCTGCCGTGGCCTCTCGTCTCCCGTGGAGCTCAGGGCCCGGAGTCCCCTAATCCCTCCCAGAGCGCCTCTGGGCTTCTGCAGAGTGAGTGGGTCTCCTCCTCCCAAAACGAAACCAGCTCGAGTACTGGGCAGGCCACCTGGTGATCGGAGGCCGGAAGGAATCGTTAACGTGTCCTGGATCTTCAAGAAGATGTTAGGAATGGACTTCTATTTTGTGGTTTCTTTCCTCCAACTACTTGCCTTCTGTACTTTTTTAAAGTTAGAAACAGGGGCACTCTGCCTTTCCTTCTGAGAGTAACCCTTCCTGTATTTTCCTAATTGACACTGAACTTTGACTTGTGTGGACTCCCCAGGGGAGGTTGCTTAAGACAACACAGGCCATAAAACAGTGAGACGCCCTGGGTGCTCTCAACGACCTCTCACTGCCTTGCTTTCTGGGTCTCTATGGCCAAATTGGCCCCAACCTCTGTCGAATTCAGAATGTTCATCAGAACCTGAGTCCACTCTGAGCCAGTTGTCACCATGTCCTTTTCAGTGATGGGGACACAAGCCTGGTGAACGATTTAGGGCAGAGGAGTTTATTTCAGTCTTTGAATACCTTCTGAAATATCTAGCTTGTGGGAGGTATTTTCTTTCTTTCTTTAAATTCATTTATTTTTAATTGAAGGACAATTGCTTCCCAGTATTGTGTTGGTTTCTTCCAAACATCAGCATGAGTTAGTCACAGGCTTACCCACGTCCCCTCTCACTTGCACACCCTTCCACTTGCCTCCACGTCCCACCCCGTGGGTCGTTACTGGTTTGAGTTCCCACTGGCTGTCTCCTGTACATTTGGTGATGTACATTTCCATGTCGCTCTCTCCATTCCTCTGTGGTGCTGCTCTGAACTGGCAGCACTGGCCTTAGGCAGAGTGATTCCAATGGCAGCTGGGCGGGAAGGTCCTCTCGGCCTGTCGTCTGCCCGGAAGGCCAGCCCGATTGAGCGCCTTTTGGCATAAACTGGCTAAAGGATGCCCATTGGTGGCAATAAGAAAGGGAAGCCAGGCGGGGTGGGCCCGGCGTTTGGGTGGCTCCAGCTGAAACCCCAGCCGAGAATAGGTTTCTGCCAGGCCTGGGTGTACAAGGGAGGGCGTCCTACCAGACTAAGGCATCTTTGTGCTCCCGAGAGTTCTCTGGACCGGGCATGCCCCTCACCTTGGAACAACCACAAGAATGGCCGGGGTGGGGGTGGACTCCCCCACGTGTTTGGAGCACGTGCTCCATGTCAGTCACACCAGCCACTGGTGACAGGACGACTACCCTGCCAGGTTCCCCATCTGCTGGAGGAAGGCCCATGAGAGCTTCCTCAATACAGTCAGTCGATGCTTGGCGTGTGGCCACTGTCCTGGGCTGGGTACAAGCAAGAAGAGGCCGTCCAGCCTTGTCAAGTCAGAGAGGAGTCCCAGCCTACCACCTGGGAGGCAACTTTGCAGTCAGACCTCAAAGGACAGGCTGAATCTCCAGGTTGCGGGGCAGGAGGGGAAAGGCCTGCACTCCAGGAGAGGCCAGCTGGCAGAAGGCTGGAGGGATGGGATTTCCAGAGTAAGGACTGCAGGGCCATCTGGTCAGTCACCCCCAGGATACTGGGCTCCTGCAGATGGAATTTCTGGGGAGAGAAAAGTGCATGGTTGTGCTGGGCTCTAGGGCTTTAGGTATCTTAGGGGGTGGGGTATTGTCACTGACTGCATTTCATTCATTTAGTTTTCTTTTGAAATCATTTTATGTTTATAGCAATGCTGGCAATAATAGTAAGAGTGCTCCCATATACTCTCCACTTAGCTTCCCTTCAGGGCCACATCTTACATAGTTCAACCGTCAAAATCAGGGAATTAGCATCAGTATTAGACTCTCAACTGTTCGGATTGTCCTGACAGTCCCCACAAATGTCTTCTTCCTGATCCAGGATCCAGCTCAGAATTCTGAGTGGCATTTGGTGGCCATAATTCCTTCATCTACTCTTTTTTTTTTTATTAAGTATATTTAATTTTAACTTGATTTTCTGGTTACATTTTATTTCTTAAAAAAAAACTTTTTGTTTTGAATTGGGGTATAGCCATACCTAAGCTATAAGGGACTCAGCCACACATACACGCGTATCCATTCTCCCCCAAGACCCCTCCCCATCCAGGCTGCCATATGACCCTGAGCAGAGCTGCATGTGCTATACAATAGGTTCCTGTGGTTATCCTTTATAAATATAGCCATGTGTACATGACCATTTCAATACTTTTTTTTTTAAGGTTGGTTTGGTTTTTTTGATGTGGACCATTTTTAATGTCTTTATTGAATTTGTTACAATATTGCTTCTGTTTTATGTTTTGGCTTTTTGGCCACCAGTCATGTGGAATCAATCTCAGCTCCCTGGGATTGAACCTGCATCCTCTGCATTGGAAGGTGAAGTCTTAACCACTGGATCACCAGGGAAGTCGCTCATCTACTTTAACCTGAGCCAATTCCCACCATCTTTGTCTTGAGTCTTTTGAAGAATACTGATCAATTGTTGTGTACCATGTCACTCCATTAAGCCTTGTCTGATGTTTCCTTTTCACAAATTTAGTTTTAATTCTCAAGGAATCCTTATTCATTATTGAACACTTAGAAGATTATGGAAAGAAATATAACCCATATATATGCATGCATGCATGCGTGCTCAGTCATGTCTGGCTCTTTGTGACCCCATGGACTGTAGCCCACCAGACTCTTCTGTCCATGGAATTCTCCAGGCAAGAATACTAGAGTGCGTTGCTATGCCCTCCTCCAGGGGATCTTCCTGACCCAGGGATTGAACCCATGTTTCCCACATTGCCAGTGGATACTTTACCATCTGAGCTACCAGGGAAGTCCAAGAATACTGGAGTGGGTACCCTTCTGCAGGGAATCTTCCCGAACAAGTGTCTCCTGCATTGCAGGCAGATTCTTTACCAGCTGAGCTACCAGGGAAGCCCATTTATACGCATATGTGTGTATTTAATGAATTTATTCTGTACATGCTCTTTTGCATCTGCTTGCTCCTTAAATGAGGGTTCCTAGCATGGAATATGGAGAAGGCAGTGGCAAAATCCACTCCAGTACTCTTGCCTGGGAAACCCCATGGATGGAGGAGCTTGGTAGGTTACAGTCCATGGGGTCACTCGGTCGGACATGACTGAGCGACTTCACTTTCACTTTTCACTTTCATGCACTGGAGAAGGAAATGGCAACCGACTCCAGTGTTCTTGCCTGGAGAGTCCCGGGGACGGAGGAGCCTGGTGGGTTGCTGTCTATGGGGTCGCACAGAGTTGGACACGACTGAAGCGACTTAGCAGCAGCATGGAATATAAGACCAAGCATGCATCATATCTGGGGTGTGGATGGAGAGGTAAACAGGAGAGGAGAGGAGAATTCCAGGTGGTGGTTGATTCTGTTTTGTTTTGTTTTGGTCATGCCAAGCAGCTCACAGGATCTTAGTTCCCTGACCAGGGATCAAACCTGAGCCCTCCTGTAGTGGAAGCTTGGAATCTTAACCACTGGATGGTCAGGGAAGTCCCTGGTGGTTGATTCTGATCTCCATGAGCAGATGTGCTGGGCTAGAGAGGAGAGAGCAGGGCCAGCCTAGCAGAAGTCCCCTTGTCCTGGGCCTCCTGAGTATGCTGACTGTGTCCACACACAGAGCTGACCACAGAGCCCCAGACCTTGGGGTCCCAGATTCTCAGTCTGTGGACCTAAGCATCACAGACAGCCATGTGTTTTTCTAAGGTAGAAAGCAGATTTTTCCAGGGGGTGGATTCTAAAACTGGGAGCTCAGGACAGCAAAAAGGGGCAGAGAAGGCAAAATCCATAACCTGGATTCACAGGTGGCCCATAAGGGGGTGGCCAGGATGTACACTTGTGGTGACTGCAGGCGTACTTCCATCCAGCCACTGTACCCCGAGACAGCGAGGGTCTTCCCATGGAGCGAAGGACCAAAAACTCTAGGCGTGCAGAATTCAACAAGGGCTCCCTTGAGTCCTCGCACCACCTCTGTTGCCAAGAATCTCTGGCTCTTTCGTATCAATGATGATGACAGACTAGGACAGCGTGGACGCTGGGGGTCTGCATGTTCCCGGCTAGCTCTGCTCCCCGAAGACTGCTACAGAGCTTTGCCTAAATAACTTTATTTTAGAGTCTTTCACACTAAAATGCACATTTTAAAGCTTCTGTCATGATTATATATTAATAGGCAGATGCAAAGACATTTCAGAGAGGTCTCCCACACAGTAGTCACAGCTTTCATAGTAACTCTCTACTATTTAATACAATATCAACCAGGTAACTGATGTTCGTGGGCTATGTCTATATTCCATGCCATTTTCTCACATGTGTAGATTCATGTAACCACTACCATCAAGACATGGAACCATTCCATCACCATGAAGACCTCCCTCCTGCTTCTGTTTTAAATTTTGTTGGCCACGCTGGGTGGCATGCAGGATCTTAGTTCCCTGCCCAGGGATTAAACCCATGCCCCCTGAAGTGAAAGTATGGCGTCTTAACCACTGGACCAGCAGGGAAACCCTCGATTTCATATGATGGTCCCCCTACCTTATTCTCTCTCACCACCCTTCCCCACCCTTGGAAACCACTAATTCCATCTTTGTAATTTTCTTATTTCAAGAAAGTCACAGAAATGAATAGAATCACACAGTACACGGTCTTTAATGATTAGCTTCTTCCACTCACCATAATGTCTACATGAATGCTTCAGTTGCCCAGCTGTGTCCGACTCTCTGTGACCCTGTGGACTGTAGCCCACTAGGCTCCTCTGTCCATGGGATTTTCCAGTCAAGAATATTGGAGAAGGTTGCTGTTTCCTCCTCCAGGG